ATAAAGGGGATGAAAAACGCAGCTGAAGGCAGGGTTGGACTCATTTGAATATAGTTTTGTGATACATTGTGATGATAATTTTATTCTGCGGTATTTGAGAGATGGCTCATCAGCCTCCACATACAGCCTGTCGATAGGTGATGTTCTAAAAGACCCAAGACAAAATCCAAGACCTTGATGGTGGATAGAATCTAAAAGTTTAAGGTTGCTTTTGCAGTCTCCACGTTAAACGATCGAACCATAATCGAGTTTAGAACGAATTAGTGCTCTATACAAGTGAAGGAGGGTCAACTGATCACCTCCCGACTTAGCATTGGAGACGACTTTAAGAGATCTAATGCCTTCGGGCATTTTGCCCTAAGATATTTGATATGAGGTAGAAACGTAAGATGATGGTCAAATATGATACCCAAAAATGTAGCTTCCTTAACTACTTTAATAGGAGTACCCAATAGATGTAAGTCTGGGTCCTTATGTGGTTTATATTTACGACGGAAATGGATGCAGTTAGTTTTAGATTCAGAAAACTTAAAGCCATTTCGTTCTCACCAATCATTAATTTTATTGAGACAGAGCTGCAACTGTCTCTCAGTCGTGTGCATATTTTTACTCTGACATGATACGTTAAAATCATCAGCAAGTAATGACCCATCAGCATTTAACACTTTCGATAAACTATGTATTTTGATACTGAACAACGTTACATATGTCGCCGACAGCCTTTTATTTCTCTATCTTTCCATCAGAAGGCTGCTTCTCCACTGTCTGATATAGGGAGTTGTACGTGCTACCCGTATTTGGCTCACCACCAAAAGCACGGGCTTCTACACCTGTGACGTATGACAATTTGAATTCACATTCAATTGTCATCCGTCAGCCATCACACATGTGTGGCTGACACAACATCTTCCTAATGTTGTATTTCATTCACAGGTAAGCACCCTCTCTATATCCTTTCTCTATTTCATAGTGCTAAATATCTAATTATTATCAGTTAAGTATTTTAAGTTAGTAAACATTGTTACCGATCGCGCATAAAGTAAACATATCTATCGCGTATCACTTACTAACTTAAGCACAAGCACGTAAGACAGTGTGTGAAAGTATAATTATATTATATTTTATAAACCTTTTATTATCAACACCAACTGTATATATGTTTAGCAATAATATGATGCATCAGCTTTATGTGACGTCATCATGTAAACAATCAACATTATTCAATTGCTATCATAATTATAACGTATGCCACTGTGCTATTTGATTATCAATTGAATAATTAATATGCCTGATTGATTGACATTCAATTGTCATCCGTCAGCCATCACACATGTATGGCTGACACAACATCTTCCTAATGTTGTATTTCATTCACAGGCAATAAACAAGATGTTTCACACGAACGAGGGTCTCCGTCCATTATTTTGTCTGCTTGGCAAGACTCGGGCCGGAACCCGCGACAAATTGGCGCCCGAACAGGGACGGAGTCAATCAGCCTCGTCAAGGACAGTGACAACGACTTCGTCGGCATGACCTATATCATCAACATGACCTACATCGTCAGCAACATCGTCATGGTTCACCGTCTACACATCTTGTCAACCAACTGAGGTACTACATAAGAACTCCTCACTCACATCGTTCACGGAGCAACACATCGTGAAACAGGTTTTTTGACTTGCAATACCGTAAATACTGTGATGAGCTCGTGTTATGAACTTCTGTGAATTTACATACATAAAGTTCTGCATAACGAACCAACTGCGATAACTGTTATCAACTGATCAAGTGGTAACTGTTCATCTGTGAATATCTGCGATTATCTGTAATGGACATCTTTTGACATTTATCATCAGAGACTTTCATATACTTCATAGACATTTCACATTGTTTCACCTATTTACATTGCATTTATACATTGAATTCTTATGACATTTTTGTCTTTGTATTTCTGTGTACACTTGCTGTGATAATATTGATTGTGCAATAATATATTTATTCGTCATGATCAAAATATCATATCATGCACAGCTTATGCTACTGTGAAGCAACTTAGTTCAGCTTAGTTAGTTTAATATTGGCTTGGCTGGTTTAAGTCAACTTAGTTTAGCTTAGTTAGTTTAATATTAGCTTAGCTGGTTTAAGTCAACTAAGTTTAGCTTAGTTAGTTTAATATTAGCTTAGCTGGTTTAGGTCAGCTTAGTTTAGCTTAGTTAGTTTAATATTAGCTTAGCTGGTTTAAGTCAACTTAGTTTAGCTTAGTTAGTTTAATATTAGCTTAGCTGGTTTAGGTCAACTTAGTTTAGCTTAGTTAGTTTAATATTAGCTTAGCTGGTTTAAGTCAACTTAGTTTAGTTTAGTTTAGTTTAGTTAGTTTAGTTTAGTTAGTTTAGTTAGCTGAGGTGGTGTAAGTTAGCTTAGTTAGTTCCCTATAACAAGTTGGCGTCTGTAAAAACGACGAAGTATTCTTAGTGTTATATTACTAGTGCAATATTGTTTCTTTACATTATGATTGTGTGAGCGCATCCGTCACATACACTTGCACTAACAGGTCATCGCACTCGCGTCAGTTATCTCGTTGTTCACCGCGTTCGCGTTTGTAGGCACTTTGTATAACCTTAAACTTGTAGCTTTATCAAAACTTAGGGTCTTCATTCTTCTCTCTGTCCTATAGGTCTATCCTCGCCTGTCCTATTGGCGATTACCTCCCTTTGCTTCCATTCCAGCTGAAGTTGTTTTGTTCTTTCTGGGATTGTTTGCGTTGCTTCATCAGTAATTTTATTACTCTTGTTGTGCCCTTGGTGTCTATTTATTAGGTTCACTTTCGGTTGACAGCTAGAGGTTTATATTTTTGCATTCTCTGGTGTTTACATTTCTGTACCCATTTTTGGTACACTACCGTATTACCTGTTGTAAACATCAGTTGCAACTTACACTTGCATTTTCACTTTATGTGAACACATGTGTTAGTATTGCATACGCACATTGTACATATATCACTCATAGTACCGTTACCATGGCACAAGGAGGTGAAGATTGGGAAGTGAGATCGGAAGTGATCTCAGAAGAGGATGAAGCTAGGATGTTGTCATACCTACAGAAGACTGGGAAATACAACATACAACCTACTTCTTTTACTTCTACACCACACATCAAACCCAAGCCATATTCTTCTTCCTTTAACCCTCGCACTCCTAGTTTTCCTTCTTATGTCCCTACACCAAACTCCTTCGCCATTCAAATCAGCTCTACCCTCCTCAACCTTGGCCTGTATACCAGCAACCACCTCGCATATCCTTGTTTTCAGGTGAAGATCCAATTCCAAAAGGAGAGACTACGTTCGAGAATTGGAAGTTCGAAGTCAGTTGCCTTATGAAGGATGAGAGTCTGCCTTCTTCAACACTCACTCAAGCAGTCCGGAAATCGCTCAGAGGAGACGCTGTTCGTCTACTTGTATCCCTCGGGGAGTATGCCACCATCACAGACATCGTGCAACGTTTGGAAGGACCCTATGGCACCATTGTCACAGCGGAATCCCTACTTCAGGAATTTCACCAGACCTTACAGCAGGAACGGGAATCGGTAGCATCATGGGCGATACGATTGGAGGACTTGCTTCAACGTTCATTGGACAGAGGAGCCTACATGGATAATCGCGGAAGGAATGCCATGCTCAGGAATAGATTCTGGACTGGACTGAGGAATCCACACTTGAAGGATGCCACACGACATGCCTTCTATTCAACAATGGATTTCGAAACCTTGCTACAGACAGTCAGGCTCATCGAACAGGAGCTCTCCAACACTCAACCTGTTAGATCCCGGCCGCCACGTAGCACCCATCAGCCACAACAGACTCTTGGATTCTCACAGCCACTGGAAGGATCTACCACTTCTTCCCCCACAGATATCTCAGAGCAACTCACTTCCATCACCAAGAGACTGGAGAAGTTGGAGACAGCTCACCGGAAACCAACGTCTGATAACCAGATGCTACAACAGATTCTCGACCGGTTAACAGTGTTGGAATCCCAGAAGGAGAATCCACCTAGACAAGTCCCTCTGCAACCATCACGGTCTTGAGGCAGAGGCAGGGGAGGAAGAGGAAGAGGCACTGGCAGAGGAAGAGGAAATGAAGCTTTAAACTGATTCAGCCTACTTCAGCGGGGCATGCAGAGGCTGAAGACTTTACTAGCCCCTCAAGTGACCTACACCAAAGGATGATAGGCAAGGCGAATGAGGCATCAGTTAACATCGAAGAGTTGGATTGTGAAGCTTTGATTGATCCTGGATCCATGGTCTCCACTGTATCGGAAGGATATCACAAGTCAAGTCTAAGTCACCTCCCATTGAAGGCACTCACTGACTTTGAAGTGGAAGTAATGGCAGCAGGTGATAACATCCTTCCCTACACCGGATAGATAGAGGCTAACATCTACATCCCTTTTATCAACAAGAACTTCACACTACCACTACTTGTAACTGGTGACACGGAGTACAACAGAAGAGTCCCTTTGGTAATCGGCACCAACCTTATAGATCAGGTAGAAGCTTACTTGGAACCAGTCAACAGCGGCATCCCTCCTTCATGGGTTACAGCTCTCCGGTCCCAAGCCTCTAATGGAATCATCGGTCAAGTAAGATCCACAAATAAGTCCCCTATTAATGTTCAGCCAAACCAGATGATGACTGTTTATGGACTTGTTCGACATCAACCCGGAAGAACAACAGCAGTTACCGAGCGCTTCGACTTGGATTCTGATCTACAGACAGGACTTTCGGTATGCCCAAGACTTGTAGATGTTGGAAAACATGGTAACTCTTCAAGGATTCCTGTTCGAATTTGCAACTTCTCAGCAAGAACCATCACCATACCAGCCAAGACAAGACTCTGCAAGTTACATGAGGTCCGTGTACTTAGCCAAGTACCTATTGATGCCTTACCACTGAAGACCCAGACAAATGCAGAACCGACTCCAGCTCCAACAGTTAGCATCGACCTTTCCAACAGTTGTCTAACAGATGCACAAAAGGACCAGGCCATGACTTTGCTTCAAAAATGGGATTGCATCATGTCGAAGAACATCTTAGACTTAGGACACACCACTGCAGTTCAACATGAGATAAATCTCACTGATGACACCCCATTTAAGGACCCTCATCGTCACATACCACCTGGAATGTTTGAGGAAGTGAGGGAGCATCTTCATGAAATGTTTAGCCTGTGGAGCCATACGGGAGTCGCATAGCCCTTTCTCATCCAACGTGGTGCTTGTACGGAAGAAAGACAAGACTCTGAGATTCTGTTTAGATTTTCGCCGGATTAATCAGCGGACCATTAAAGACGCCTATTCCATCCCTCGGATTGATGAGACACTGGATTGCCTCTCAGGAGCATCTTTGTTTTCAAAGCTGGATTTGCGCTCAGGATATTGGCAGGTGGAGATGAAAAAAGAAGACAAGAAGAAAACAGCATTTTCAGTCGGCCCACTTGGATTCTACGAGTGTAACAGGATGCCGTTTGGCCTTACCAACGCCCCAGCTACGTTTCAACGTTTGATGGAAAAATGCATGGGAGACCTAAACCTGAAGGAATGTCTCATCTATCTTGATGACGTCATCATTTTCTCCAAAACGTTTGATGAGCATTTGGAACGCTTGGAAGCAGTATTTCAACGTCTCCATGACAATGGACTCAAGCTCAAGCCATCCAAATGTGAGCTGTTCAGAGACCGAGTGACATATCTAGGACATGTAGTCTCTTGCAATGGAATAGATAGAGACCCAGAGAAAGTCTCTGCACTGACGACCTGGCCAACTCCAACTAATGTCCATGAAGTCAGAAGATTCTTAGGCTTTACTGGATACTATCGCTGTTTTGTCAAGGACTTCGCCAGAATTGCTCGGCCACTGAATGATCTCCTGACTGAACAACCCAAGAAGAAGAGAAGGAACTCAAACCCTGATCCCAATTGGAAATGGAACGATGAACACCAGGAAGCATTTGACACCTTAGTCAGGCACCTCACGTCACCTCCGATCTTAGCCTATGACGACTACTCTCTTCCTTTTGAAGTCCACACAGACGCCAGTATAGAAGGACTTGGTGCAGTGCTCTATCAGAAGCAGGACGGGAAGATGAGAGTCATCGCTTATGCAAGTCGTGGTCTGAGGAAAAGTGAGAAGAACTACCCTGCTCACAAACTGGAATTCTTGGCACTGAAATGGGCAGTCACGGACAAGTTCCATGAGTATCTCTACGGTAACAAATTCGAGGTCAAGACTGACAACAATCCTCTAACGTATGTCTTGACATTCGCCAAGCTTGACGCTACTGGTCACCGATGGCTAGCTGCTTTGTCAACCTACGATTTCATCATCAGATACCGAGCTGGAAATACCAACATGGATGCTGATGGATTATCAAGAAGGCCAGACTACTCTGTTAGCCAGGAGACACACATAGAACCAACCTCTATCAAGGCCATCTTCCAGGTTCACCACACTCCTTGCATAGCAGCTGAGAGCCTATCCTTCAACAAAGAAGCTGTATGTCCTGAAGATGTTGTTTCATTGACTTCAACTTCATTGTCCTGGAAGAAGGAGCAGCTCAGTGACAAGCATCTCAAGCGTGTTCTCCATCTAGTCAAGCAGGGTAAAAAACCAACAGCACGCCAACGTTCACTGGAGGATCCTATGGTCAGAAGACTACTCCAAGACTGGGACAAATTATCAATCAAGGATGGGATATTGTACAGACAAGTCAAAGGCACAGATGAACCTCAACAGCAACTTGTCTTACCTTATCACAAGATTACGGATATATTGAAAGCCCTCCACGATGACTCTGGACATCAAGGACGAGACAGGACCCTTTATCTAGCTAAGTCAAGGTTCTTTTGGCCTGGAATGTCCGAGGAAGTGGAGAATATGTGAAGAACTGTGGAAACTGCATCAGACGCAAGTCCAAGACTACAGTGAAAGCTGCACCTTTAGTCAGCATCAAGTCATCACAACCTATGGAACTTGTGTGCTTGGATTATCTGAAACTTGAGGAATCAAAGGGAGGCTATGAGAACATCCTCGTTATAACAGACCATTTCACTCGTTATGCCACCGCCATCCCAACTCGCAACCAATCTGCCAAGACAACTCGCGAGAGTCCTGTTTGACAACTTCCTCGTCCATTATGGTTTCCCAGCCAAACTTCACAGTGACCAAGGGAGAAACTTTGAGGGAAATATCATCAAGGAACTGTGTCAGTTAACCGAATCAGGAAGACCAGAACAACACCTTATTCATCCTCAAGGGAATGGTATGACTGAGCGGTTTAACCAGACTTTGATGAACATGTTGGGCACTCTCGATGAGGAAAAGAAAAGTGATTGGACGACCCACGTTCCGTCCACTGGTACACTCATACAATGCCACCAGACACGAGAGTACAGGATACACGCCATTCTTCCTCATGTTTGGGAGACACCCTCGACTCCCCTGTGGATGCCTTTCTCGGAGTTAGCCTTGGAGAAGGACAAACAACGCACACTCAGTATGCCCAGAACCTGAGAAAGAGGCTACAGTTTGCCTATAGCATTGCCTCCAAGGAATCCAAGAAAGCTGGTCATCGCCACAAACAGAACTATGACAAGAAAGTGAGAGAATCACTTCTTCAACCCAATGACAGAGTGTTAGTGCGCCTAGTTGGACTCACAGGAAGAAGCAAACTTGCTAACAAGTGGGGCAAGGAAGTCTACATCGTCCTGAAACAGCCCAATGAAGATATTCCTGTCTACACTGTGAAGCAAGAGTGTGGTAAGGGGCCACTGAGGACTCTACATCGCAACATGCTCCTACCACTCCAATCTGTTTCCCTACAGCCAGCTCTGCCTACACAAAGGCGTGACTACCCACGCAGCAAGAAGTCTGTTTCCCTTCATGTGAAGGATTACCAAGCTGCACATGAAGCCGAAGATGACAGCGAGGAAGAAATACTGCTGCTTCCAAGACTCAGGAGTCAGGTAGGTGCAACTGATGTCCTCTCAGCTGCTGGATCAGAGTCTTCCATCTCTGATCGTGGTCACATCTCATGTGATCAACCCGCCGATGTCAGCTCCTTAAAGTCTCAACAGCACTCACCTGGATCTTCTGGACGTTCTCTTGCAAGAGTCACCGACGCATTGCCAGAGGTTCTAGAGCACTATCCAGATGCAGTTATCTCCCATGACAACACCTCAAGTCCGGCTTCAACGTCGAACCCATGTTCACCTGCGCAGACAGAGGATGTTGCTGTTTCTCCTGTCATTGAGGATGGACAACATGCATCTCCTACCCACACCGACACTCCAGAGTTGGGGAGGCCTACCCGACTTCGGGAACCGTCCAGCCTGGATGAGGGATAACCAATGGATCATCAACTTCGGATCGACCATCAGAGAAGATACAGAAGAGGAGGAAGTTTTTGTGTGATGTACTGCTCATTGTAAATATGTTTGCATTTTGTGGCTCTTTGTTCAGTTTGGTTTTGCCTGTTCTTATCTCAAAGTTTAAGAACCATTGAGAATTCCATGGTTTTGACCTGAAGGAATATTTCAGTTTCTGGTTTCTTCTGTCCCAAGACATGAATCTTTGCAAGCGTCGTGGTTTTATTTTCATCATTCGTTGGGGCTTCATTTCCTTTGTCCTAAATGTTGGGGACAACATTTTCCAAAGGGGGGGAAAATGTGGCCGACAGCCTTTTATTTCTCTATCTTTCCATCAGAAGGCTGCTTCTCCACTGTCTGATATAGGGAGTTGTACGTGCTACCCGTATTTGGCTCACCACCAAAAGCACGGGCTTCTACACCTGTGACGTATGACAATTTGAATTCATATTCAATTGTCATCCGTCAGCCATCACACATGTATGGCTGACACAACATCTTCCTAATGTTGTATTTCATTCACAGGTAAGCACCCTCTCTATATCCTTTCTCTATTTCATAGTGCTAAATATCTAATTATTATCAGTTAAGTATTTTAAGTTAGTAAACATATTGTTACCGATCGCGCATAAAGTAAACATATCTATCGCGTATCACTTACTAACTTAAGCACAAGCACGTAAGACAGTGTGTGAAAGTATAATTATATTATATTTTATAAACCTTTTATTATCAACACCAACTGTATATATTTTAGCAATAATATGATGTATCAGCTTTATGTGACGTCATCATGTAAACAATCAACATTATTCAATTGCTATCATAATTATAACGTATGCCACTGTGCTATTTGATTATCAATTGAATAATTAATATGCCTGATTGATTGACATTCAATTGTCATCCGTCAGCCATCACACATGTATGGCTGACAACATCTTCCCTAATGTTGTATTTCATTCACAGGCAATAAACAAGATGTTTCATTAATGAACGAGGGTCTCCGTCCATTATTTTGTCTGCTTGGCAAGACTCAGGCCCGTTCGGCCACCTTTGTCGCCGGTTCAGGCCTGAGTCCGCCACAAGCAGACAAAAATAATGGACGGAGACCTCGCTCGTCAAACATCTTGTTTATTGCCTGTGAATGAAATACAACATTAGAAGATGTTGTGTCAGCCAACATGTGTGATGGCTGACGGATGGCAATTGAATGTCAATCAATCAGGCATATTAATTATTCAATTGATAATCAAATAGCACAGTGGCATAATGCTATAATTATGATAGCAATTGAATAATGTTGATTGTTTACATGATGACGTCACATAAAGCTGATACATCATATTATTGCTAAAAATATATACAGTTGGTGTTGATAATAAAAGGTTTATAAAATATAATATAATTATACTTTCACACACTGTCTTTATCGCAGCTTGTGCTTAAGTTAGTAAGTGATACGCCGATAGATATGTTTACTTTATGCCGATCGGGTAACAATATGTTTACTAACTTAAAATACTTAACTGATAATAATTAGATATTTAGCACTATGAAATAGAGAAAGGATATAGAGAGGGTGCTTACCTGTGAATGAAATACAACATTAGGAAGATGTTGTGTCAGCCATACATGTGTGATGGCTGACAGATGGCAATTGAATGTGAATTCAAATTGTCATACGTCACAGGTGTAGAAGCCCGTGCTTTTGGTGGTGAGCCAAATACGGGTAGCACGTACAACTCCCTATATCAGACAGTGGAGAAGCAGCCTTCTGATGGAAAGATAGAGAAATAAAAGGCTGTCGGCGACATACATATTATCACATAATCATAATTATGGCACAGATAAACCTATATATCTAATTGGAACTGATGCAGTTTAAGCATATTTATTACCCAGGTGGTCAACGTATGGGTAGTTGCATATTAATCTCGTACGTCACACGAGCGTCGTATCGCGTTGACCTGTGTCGTAACAACTTGACCTGAAATTCTAACGATTTGATTGGATAACCGATGACCTCTCAATTAGGTCACATTCTGATGTAACTTTTTTTCATTCATAACAAACACGCGAATTCATTCATTCT